AATATAGCACTTACTGTTCATGGAAATTGATTTTTTTTTTGCGTGCGTATTAAAAAACATTAGATCTCAAAATTTGACTTGTTGTTGTTTTTTCCTAAACGAATTTTGAAAAATTTTATGAATTTTTTTCTGAGGTACCATTCAAGTTTGCAAAAAATCCGTGAAAATGCACACTCAAGACACCACCAACAAAAAACTATTCCAAATACCAAAAATTTTAAAGACAGATTTTTAGTATTTTATCTTCTCTTCATTCTTTGAAAAATTCACGAAGATTGGAAGAAAAATGGTGGAGTTATTCAAAAAAGTATAGAGAAAAGTCGCGTTTTGATTTTGAGAAAACGGCCGGTAAAAAAAATAAAATATTGTCTTTATGAGGAAATGGTGGTGATAAACGTACCCGGTATGGGGGAAAAAATACGGTTTTTGGGGGTTCTTATGCAATAAAATAGTTGTAGGAGAGGCTGAGGAAGCTAAAAATGCCCACAATGATCCATAATTTTGAGCCGGATCGCGGCTTTACCCCGCCCCTTTAAAGATAGCATTTGTATAGCGCATACCCCCTGTCGACAGCAATCTCTATGCACTTTACACTATATTACTACCCCAGCAGACCATAGAACACTCCGAAACATTATCAGCTTCCCGGGAAGCATACAGTGCAAGCAGCTGGTTAAGGCGCTCAAACACTAACAAACTGACAAGATCTTTCGCTGTCTATAGCCTGGTACCCATTCCCACCTGGGTGAAGTGGGGAAAATTCCTGTAAAGTACAACAATATCGTGTAAAGCGCATAGAGGTTGATGCAGAACGGGATTATACGCTATACAAATTTTAATGCTATTCATTATTTATTATTATTATCATTATTATCAATATTATTATTATCATTATTATTATCATTATTATTATTATTATTATTATTATCATTATTATCATTATTATTAATATTATTATTAATGTCAGTGAGAAACCAGCATCGCGGTTATGAATTCTGCTGGTAGTTGGGCTACAAGTCTCGTAATCGTGAGGTTGCGGGTTCGGGGGTTCGAGCCGCGGGCCCGATGTTGTGTCCTTGTTGAAGACACTTTACACGAATTGTCCTCACTTCACCCAGGTGGGAATAGATACCCGGCAAGGAGCTTAGAACTTACTTTTAATCTCTTTGATACCCGGCCATAGACAGTGAGAGATCTTGTCAGTATGTTAGTGTTTTAGTGCCTATATAAATGGCCGCTTGCACTGTATGCTACCCAGGAAGTTGAGGTTGTTTCAGAATGCTCTCAGGTCTGCTGGGGTAATAATATAGATTGTGGAACGCTTATAGTTTGCTGTTGAGCGGGGATTTACGCTATACAAATGCTATCTGTTACTATTAAGGCGATGGTAGGAAATAGCATCTGAGGTATAGGGGTTCGGGGCTTCGCAGAAGCTAACTTGTTCTTCTCAGAATCGGTTTATGAGGAAGATGGAATGTTAATGTTAGTTAAATTTATCATCATTTGCAAGTGCCAGATCTGCATCATACAGACTGAAAATAAAATGACAATGCATCGTTTCTAGGAATCGGAAAACACAAATAATACGTCGTTTCTAGGACTGGAAAAACAATTATAATAGTGGAGGGAGGGTCATGTTAAAGTAAACACGGAGAACTAGATCTAGAATCTTAAAGGTGATGAAGAACAACTTGAAAAAGTGCAACGTCGGGCCACCAAACTAATTCCTGAACTACAGCACTTTGCTTACTGCGATCGACTCAGAAAATTGGATCTGCCATCGCTGTACTATCGGAGAGCTAGAGGCGACATGATTGAATGTTACAAGTCAGTATCTAACAGGAATTTACAACGTAGCGGGAGATATTTTACCCCGCTATCTACACTCTAACACAAGGGGACGCAGTCTAAAATTGAAAAAAAAAAATGTGAAAA